GAAGGTTCCTATCAACTTCGTCCAGCTTGTAATGAAGTTGGTGACATTTTAAGTGGACTAAATGTGCCACGACTGTCCTTTGTTATCAAGAGATCTGTGAAAAATAATTTTCTCCAGGGGATGTATAGGCGCCATTGTTCTTTTAACCTTTCTTTACCTTCTCTCCTCTCCCATCTCATTTCCTGTCATACTAGCTGACTACGCACTTAAGTACGTGCATCTGTGCACACATGGTCCAAAACGAGATCCCAGGATCAAACATTCAACATATGGTGCTTGAAATGAGCTGACTGACGAGACTGAAGCTGACACTTGCATACCCCAGTTTGAGGAAACACATTTTTTTTCCATGCAGAGATATTGAACTGGATATGCAAGCGTGCTCACGCTTACACACATGTACCAATTGTGTGAATTCTAGCACCGTGGTGGCAAAATGCTGATGAGAGCCATCATCTCTGGCCCCGTTACAATAACAGTCTGTATGCTGCTTCTTATGTTTATGAGTCCATGTGTGTCACAAGATTCAGAGTGGGTTTCCCATCACTCAAAGTTTTTTCCTGGAAGCTGACTAGATGTTGGCCACACACACATACACACTGAAAAAAAAAGCCCTCCACCCCAGTTTGGGTATCCCTTTCTCCTCTCTGTCGCTTTACATTGGGCTCCATGACGGTGATCTGGTCAAAGCGCCTTTACAAAGACTTCGATTGGGGGAAGTTAAAGCCAGTGGTAAGGGTTTAAGTTGACAGTGCAGGGAGGTGTGTGTGTGTGTGTGTGTGTGTGTGTGTGTGTGTGTGTGTGTGTGTGTGTGTGTGTGTGGCGGGCGGGCAGAGGGAGGAGAAATTGTCACATTGTCTGATTGTGTGACTGAATGTACCTTCCGACCCCTTGTGTTTGCCCCCGACGCCTAAAAGAGAAGCATCCAATGCTGGAAGGAGAACAACAGAAGCAGGAGTGTTGAGTGAAGATGGACTCTGACAGAAAGAGAAAAGGAGCAAAGTATCAAACAAAAAAAATACTTGAGGTGATGGCGAAGACAAGAAGGTCAAACACAGGAGTGAGAAAACACTTGTCAGCATATCTCTTAACCACTGCCCGCTGTGACACGCATCTACGGGTGTAAGACTATGTGACTGTGTGGTGCTAAAGTCTTCCAACATAATGTCATCACATTTCAGCAACTACGTGCAATGATCCCAACTGAGGAAGTCGTTCCTGGCCTAAGGCTTCGTGGACAAGCTGAGCTGAAGCAGAAATCAGTCATACTGTATAAACCTGATATTTCCTGGTGGTACCCGAGCTGCCAGTTTTTGTGACATTCTTGGAGAATTAAAGCTCTCTGCTGATTTATTTTATTTCATCCAGTGGGGTCTGTGGACTGACTGACCCCTCTTACATTGTTTGCAAACAAGCAGGATAAGGGGCCAGATTACTCTAATAATTGCTCATGGATTGCAGACTAAATTTCAGATCACAGATCAGCTCATTTTGAAAACTAGAGCTATTCATGAAATCAAACTGTTTCGACCGTTTGCTTCCGTTTCTTTCCAATGCACAGTTTGAGGGGTCTAAGCCAGTTTTAATAAAAAGATTATAGCTTCAAAGTAAAATAATCAAACAGTGGAAGCTTCTTTAGGTGTTTCTCACCTTGTATTAATGCTGAATTATTGATCTCTAATAGAGCACCATGGCACGTGAAATCTTCCCGGTGAACTGAGAAGGCAGATTTTAAAAAAAACTGCACTTTACAGATTATGAACCTTTACTTTTGCGTCGTGAACAATTATTTAAATGTCCACATGACTGCAGTGTCTCCTTCAGCGGTTCTGCCTCTACCACAGATTACAGTAACAGTCTCAGGGTGTGTGTGTGTGTGTGTGTGTGTGTGTGTGTGTGTGTGTGTGTGTGTGTGTGTGTGTGTGTGTG